AAAAATTTATTATGTAGCGGCCATTGTATAGCCACTACGCCCTTGCCAAAGTATGAATGGGAATGGAATGTAAGGATAGTTTTAAGCTTTCTATTTTTCCATTTTCCCAGGGTCTCGTGCGAGCCTGGTCGTCCTGTTAAACACTTGGCGACCAGAGCCGTGCGAGGCGTCTGTTTTCCTTCAAGGTTTCGCCTGTGCCTCGGACCACCCCAATCCGGGCCCGGCGGGCCTCTTGACTTTTATTACTCGCTTTCACGGTAGCTAAACTTTTCCTACGCTATGTATTTTCCAGTTTCGTTTTCCGTCTTTCTGCCCTGTCTCTTTTTCTCTACCTTTACTATTAGGGTAAGAATGTGTATATATTCAAAGGGACGTTGAAAGAAAATGAATTGAAAGAAATCATACTTAACAAACCCCGATCCTATTCCACAGCACTACTCCACATAGAAGCAAAAACGGAACTCCTGCACGACATTAGCCACTAAAGCCCAGGAAAACAACAGCGTCCAAACCCTTTAGTATCCTCCCTAGGAAACTATAACCACACAGAATACCCACTGAAGATCCGCATGAAAACACCCAAACTCATCGCAAACAGCTAACACCCAATCTCCACTGTCGCACGACATACTAATGTTAACGAGGTTTTTGAAACTTTTCCCTCGATCCTAACGCATGAAATTAACACAATAAAACCACCCCACCAAAATATCATACAGACAATAACCAAACATTTTTTAAGTGCAGGTTATAGGACGCAGCCCAAGGTACTGCAGTCACACATGAGAAAAGGACAAAAAAAAAAAAAAAAAAAAAAAAGTCCCCAGTCTGTTATAGACGGCCTAGACTGTAAAGACGTAGTCGCGTTGCGAAGCCAGTTTGGTAACGACTTAACCTACGTGTGGCTACACTCCCACACCCGCGGGAATAAACAGTTAAATAATTGTTGGCGTAGATGGAGGGTTGTCATTTGAACCCCCAGCCCTCTCAATTAAAAACAAATATTTTTTTTCTAATTCTACATAAGCAACTTAATTTTTATGAAAAATATAAATGTATGTATAACACAAAACAAAAAATATTATTTTAATTTAACGCAACCTTAATTTAATAAATTATAATTTGTTTATATTTTTTCATGTAAACTATAGTTCATTATTCCTTCGCATCATTATTTTAAGGTAATTTAGTCTTCAAATATGTTAAGCAAAAGCATGTTATCCAGTGTTGTAAAAGTATAGTGTTGTACGAAGGTTTTCGCAATTTTCTTATCGTATTAGAGCGAAACCGTGTTATAAGATGCCGTGGTGTAGGAGGATTCTCGCAATTTATGAATCGTGTTATAGGATGCCGTGTTATAGGAGGGCTAACTGTATTTCAATTATTTTTGTGAGTAACATTATTTGAGAATGTGACACGCTTATGGCCGCACGATGGCGCTGTACGTTGGAGTACTGGTCGACCATAGGGGAATCCCCAAGTAAACCTCGCCAGTCGGCCGCGGGGAATTCCCGTGCTCGTGTATTACTATCGAAACAGTTTTATAAAACATCTCTTCTTCGCTGTATGGATTATTAGACCTGAATAAATTACATTTTCTATTACTATCGGACCACAGAGAAATTGAAAACGGGATAGAAATATAGATGAGTAAAAAAATTGTGATTTTTATACAATTGCTGTACCTTTACTTTAAGAGGAAAATCGAACTAAAACAAAAAGCCATTATTTACAAACACGTTATAATTGTTTTGCTAGAACCAATTAAAAATTTCAACAGTTCCATTCGACGCCCGATGAAAATTAGTGACGAAGGCCATTAGTTTCTAACCAAATACGGGTATAATTTACAATAAACTGGAGCTAGGAAATTCGATCATTGTATAATTACCTTTACAATGAAAGAATTAAAAAATTCGGTTCCATTTAGGCACTATCGCTGTCAAACGCTTTGCATCGATTATCGTATCTAATATATTTACGCAGATTTCGTATAATTTTTTTTTTTCTTTTTCTTTAATTATACAAAAACTCATAAAAGCAAAGGAAAGTTATTGTTTAATATTTTATTAGACCGCCTATGGTAACAACTTTCGAAAACAATCCGTGTTCTCAGTTATACTTTATGTCTTTTGGTAATAAAAGGATTTTAAATTCGTTTCCCTATAGTCCTTTTACGGCCGCTGCAAAATGGATGTACGGACTATCTCGGATTAAAATATTATATTACACATAACATGACGAGCCGACCCATTGTTCCACTTTGCGATAATGCGATATTTCCTCTTACTTTATTCGCTATGACTAGATAATCAGCTTTGTCTCTCTTTAAATATTTCGATGAAGTATAATTAGGAGCTGTTCCATTTAAACGTGAAACGATCAAGTCCAATCCACAAACTTTTTTGAGCAAACGATATATAAAATTATTAAATTCATTTCTGCTGCAGTGTATTCCAGTTAAAAAGAAAAGGAAAATAATAACAGAAATACCAATTTTCTCTAATCGAGTGGAAAAGACTTATTTCTACAATACGACAATAATACTATTATTGTAATACTATTATTGTCGTATTATATCACGAATAAGAACGAGAACCCATGATTCGTAAATCTTATCCGTCTTCTTATTATTAAACATATTTATTTTCTAATCGCCACAGAAACGTTTCACTTCTACGCGAAATTAGACGGTACATTAAATAGAACAAAAACCTCTTCGATTCTTTCCTATCAACATAGAATTCGATCGTTGCATTCAGTTTAGAATTTTTTCGAACGACAACTTTCATATTAAAAATTATACACTTAGATAGGTTGGTAAAGACACAAAGTGGTACATAGTTCGCTTTGTAATTTTATTGTACAAGATATTTCAGTCGCGAGGGCGAGATAGCGAAGGGCGTTACGAAAGTTTAGTGTCCTATTCTATTTTAATATTTCGTTAAAGTACGACTGAAATAATAAATTGTGAACCCAGGTGATACTACTGAAATCAACCGAGTAGCAAATATTTTCGAAATTACTGGTAATACTTGCAAATATTTCTAATTAAACATTTTCTCATGTTATACAACAGAACATTAACGTTTTTATTAAAGCTGTGACTGTTCAAATAATCTTTCTGAATTCGACTATTTGAATAATTTCTGTAGTCGCCAAGTTTTCTAAGCATTATTCTGATTGTTTATTGTTTTGAGGGACAATTTTGTTTTATATACAACTGTATTTGTATCTTCTCGAAATCACCGATAGTTTCGAAAATGTTTGCAACAATTTGAACGGCCCGGCTTGCATATTTACATTGATCTGCGTTCTTGAAACACCTTGTACAGTTCGTTAACATCAAATAGAGTTTCCTGACACGATTGTTTAGCGATATGGTTTTACTTTACTATATACAGTGAGGATATGTAATGCACAACAGATGAAAATTTACACGGCGTCGAGAGAAACGTGGATCAATTAACAACGGGTATAATTTCTGGACCACGAATCCACGCAATAAACATTTATAGGCTGCTCGATAATTGATTGAAATAATAACGTTCTATAATGATTACAGCAACTGTCCAGCGTAGATTGAGTTTCGTCGTGTCGAGCACTTATGATTATTTCATAATATTTTAAGTAATATACCGAGTAAATTATTAATTAAGTATCGATAATCAATGATCCTAACACTTCTTCCTATCATATTATTGTAATTATAACGTATTTTTGATTCGAACAAATATTCAAATTAATGAATAAAATTACTCAGCTTAAAATTGGTAGAATCAATGTTTTCCATTCGTCTCGAATTTTCGTAATTAACGAAATTAATTTTCGTTAAATTGTACTTTTGAGCCTACTTTGAATCTGGTATTACGATAATTTGAAATTACAGCGTAAATTCTCACCGAAAACGTGCTCGTTAGGATCATTTTTAATTATTGTCCAATTAATCAGTGGATAAATTTTTGAGAATGGTGTCCTCGAACAGATTGCTCGACGCGAGAATCATATTTTGGGTTTCGTGAAGCGATCCATGATTTCCATGACTCCCGGGATGTTGAAAGGTTTGCTTAAGCCGTAAGTTACATAATGCAATTTAAAGAGCATCGAAACAACGCTCTCAGTCTTTCGATAATACTATCCTAATACTATTTTAGTATGTTATATACATACATGCGATATGCTATACAAATATAATACATGGAACGTGTTATTTTATGTATAATCGTATATAATATACATATATCGAGTATATGTATATGTACAGTAACGTGTGTGTCTTTCCATTATGTTTGTCTTTGGTACAAATGTGAAACTAGTTGCAAAAATTGTTGGTACTAGTTCATTAAACGCTTGCTATCGCGTACTTATAAAACCAATTTCGTTCGCTATTTTACAATGATTTTTATGGCGCTGGATGAGAAACGAAGAGGGACTTCCAGTTTAGAATCCACGACAACTCGCAATAAATTCCGTAGCACTGTCCAAACCTGCTAATTCAAACGGAAACAAGTTCGATAGTGATTCTTTGGCGTGCGAATAATTCTCACTTAGTGAAATTTTAATTAATAAATTTCCGTACTTAAACGTAAATGACTAGGTGATAATTAGCGAGGTGTTGGTTTTCGGTATCGACTAGTTTCGAGTTATCCGCCATTCTAATGTTTCCAATTTAGCGTGATCGTGACTTATTGTTAGTGTACTCATCGTGAAAATTTACAAATTCAATTCTCGTCGACGCGTTATTCCCTCGTTGTTTTATTTAATTCGTGCTATTTTCATGGTAAAGAATGGATTTCATGGACATTTCGCCTCTCCTTCTCCCCGACGTACCTACTGGATTTTTATAAATAATTTACAATACCTAATGTCGCCGTACATCGTAACGTTAGCTTATAAGTACTGTGTTAAGTGGTCAGACGCGGTTTCAACGATACTTATCCTGGAATGGAGTCCTTGAGTGATGGATTTCTAAATGGATTTACAAATTTTCGATGGGTCGCGATCGAAAGAAAACATCGATGACGCGCTAACGAGGCGATGGCCGATTTTCAAACCGGACGTAGCGTCCTTAACTGTGGATGATGGTGGAGGTAAATAGTGAACGCGACCAAAACGAAAACCAGGATGAAAGGGTTCTCCTTCGGCGTCACTCCGGAATCATCGTAATCGTCGGCTTCGTTTCCGTCGGTTTCTTTACGACCTCGTAACTTCAAATCTGTAAATGCGAATCGCCACGACTATTACCGATCGTTCTTCCCCCGATAGTTTCTCTCCTATCCTTTATATTCACTATTTTTTTTTAGTCTGGAAAAACTATCGAAACATTCTTACTCGTAAATTCTGAAACGATTCTTCGTTGTTTTTCCGACTTGTCGAATTTGTTAGTATTCAGAATTTTTAATTTAAGAAAGACTCTCGAACTAATTTAAATTTATTTATTAATTTTCAGGACTACGTTTGCCACCTTTGAAATTACTGACACCATGACATTCTGACGTTTGCATTGGAGAGCAAATAATTCCGGAACTTTTATCGAGGTAAAAATCGGACTTTTAACAAGGAGTGAAGGTACGAAACAGTTTTTTATTTTCAGGTTCTCTACCTACCTCGCTCTTTTAGCATGTCCTGATTTCCTTCAAAAATATCGTTCTTTGAATTATGCCTTAACTTTCCTGTAATAGAAAAAAAAATTATATACATAATAATATAAAAACCCTTCAAGTATATAAATCGTCTAATATATAATCTGATTTCATTTATAGATATAAATTTTATCTTTAAAATTGACTATACACACGAATCTTATTTTATTAATCAATATATTCCATTTCTGTAAATGTTTCAAAATGAAAATAATTCAAATGTGCTCGAAGGAAACATTTAAAAATTTTTTTTACTAACGAATTTATCGATTATAAGATATTAATATGGATTAAGATTTTAATGGTCTCATCTTTCTAGCAATTACCTCAATAACTAACGGAAATCGCCCTTTTCGAGAAGCAAACTCGATTCGATCCACGCGAATAATATCTGCAGCAGTTGTCGAAATTAAATGAATCGACGATTTTCCCGATAGGATTCGCCTTTTTCCCCGACGATAAATAATTAATCGGCCCGTATCAAAAGAGCTATTAATCTTCGCGTTCCATTTTAACTGTTAATACAAATGACTTTTCGAACGTTACCGTGCTTTCCGAACATATAACATAAGCTGCGTTAATGAGCTATTTAGTAGATTGCCAAACACGAATACACGAAACGCAACACTGTGCATCCGAATACGTTTGCGACGTTAACGTTAAATAAATAAATACTACGTTTCGATTTCGTTTAAATGAAATTTATTGCTTCGTCGTATATTACGATTATACGACGAAGCAATAAATACAAAATACCATGCTCTTCGAATATTAATTCGAGTCTCCCAGAACCGAGTAAAATTTATTCATTAAACATTTTACTTTAAATAATAAATTCCTTACGATTCGAATAGAATAGGATTTCAAATAAGAAGCTTTTAAATTTATTATATCTTAAAAATAACTTCGTACTAAATTTGAAAAAGCATTTATACAGGATGTTCGGCCACCCCTGGGAAAAATTTTAATGGGAGATTTTAGAGATCAATATAAGACGAAAATCAAGAATATCAATTTCTTGACTGAGGCTTCATTAAAAAATTATTAAAAAATTTCAAATCATTCTGAAAAAATTATTTTTAGTTGCGGGGCTCAATTACAATCATTTTTGGTGAATACACGTACCCCTGAAATTCTATCCATTTTCGAGAAAAAAATTTGAATAGGTACTGAAGACGAAATTGAAAAATTTCAAATTATACTAAAAAAAATGATATTTAATTATAGGGGTCAATTACAATAATTTTTGGTGAATAGACCTACCCTCGAAATCCTACCCACTTTCTAGAAAAAAATTCAATATTCTTGATTTTCATCTTATTTTGGCCTCTAAAATTTCCCATTAAAATTTTTCCCAAGGGTGGCCGAGCACCCTGTATAGATTTTTAAAATCCGCATTGCCAGGAATACTTTATGAAAAAAGAGGAGTAATAGCAAGTTTAACTTTTTGTTAAGATTGGTATCTACGAATAATCAAATTTTTCTAAAGCCTTAATAATTAACGGATGAAACTAAATTTCAGTCTAATGAGTTTCCACGCTGAATGATTAAGGGTTAGCCTGAAATATTTTGCCACGGAACGTCGACACTGTATTCCGATTTTGCGGTTCCGTTTGTTATTAACGCCGCCATATTTAAAACAAGCATTGGGCCAGATATTTCTACAGAGAGGAATAGACAGAGCCCAATAAAGTTGACCTATGGCTCCAGACGGGCCTATAAATTTTCCATCGAGCGCAACGTCGCCTCTCAATCTGTTAGCATCAAAATATTTTGCATATATCGATTCCCAACGTTCGACTATGTGGGTGGCTGATGAGCCAATACTAAAACCCCGACTTTTCATAGTAATAAGGGCAGATATTTGGGAAATATGAAAAGAAATCGTCCTCTTTCGGTGCTCGATTTCGTTGGAAATTAGAAACGAAAATTTTTACATTAGTGAATCTTTCATAGTATATCTTCTTACAGTACCTAAAGAATATAATGCTAATTTACTGTCAAAGAAATAAAAATATAACGATTATCCAGAATAAAATATCGCCTAAAGGAGAAAATGTTTGAGAAGTTCAGAAATGGTTTTAAATAATCGTCGAAAATTTATAATATTACTTACTATATTATTCAGAGTATTTTGAAAAAAAAAAACATATTTTAATCAACAGGGTACAATGTGCACGTTACATAATGCTCGAAGCACTTCTATTAATTAAATTAATCATATTGAAGACGGTAATAAAATCTTTATAAGAAAAGAACGGTATTATATAGAAAACAGATATTCCTGTTTCTAACAAAAGATCGTGGGGGAAATGCAAATGTTGGATACGTGAAAGGAGGCTTTGTAGAGAGTCATTTCAAAGGGAAGAAAATTAGCGCATAAAAAGGAATACGAAAGTTATAGTTAAATTAAAGGAAGCTGACAAACTCGAAAGCAGATTAAAATAATTAAAAATAGAATTCGTTCGAAAAGTAGGAAGCGAATTAACGTGTAAAAGAATATAATCTTGCATTTGGGAAAAGTTCGAGAAACTTTGAATCGTTCGTTGAATATGGTTCCTATTAATCTTGACAATTATATTTAGAAGTGTTTGCAATTATAATAAAGGACGTTCCTGCGAATAATATATTTTTTCCACCGCTAGAGTAAACGTCCAAAATTTGAGCGCGTAGAATAACATTGTGAACAGGAACATACTTGATACAGTGTCAATATAATTGAAATGTACCAACAATAACACGACGAATTCGTATTCAACCGTGTATTTAGTAGGATACGCATCATTGAAAACGATAACCAAAGGCATTTCACGGTAGTTACTTCTCCTTTAACGTGCCCGGTCGAAACTTCAAAGTGATTATAATGCGGTACTATGCCGTACAAGAGCATTAATTAGAAGTAGATAATGCTTCTTTTTTTATTCTAAAGTTCTTTTTACGGACTTCGTTCGCGAACTACGGGAAATTGAATTTACATAATACGCGTTTCTAATCCGTCGAAGACTGAGAAAAGCGGATGAGCAACGACTTTGGAGCACTGTTAACGCGCGATGAAAGTCTAGTAAACGTAAAAAAAAGTCAAATTGTTACTGGAAAATGAAGACGTATTTCTCTCGCAAATAAGAAAATAAGAAATACACAGGTTGTCTGCAGTCGTTCAAAATTACTTTCGTCTCTCTAGAACTATATTTTATAATAATTCTAAATAAATGCATTCGACAGTAGATAAATTCTAATTGTCCGTACAGAAATTGCAAAATAAATTTACCTACGACGCACAGTGGGTAAAATCCAGATAAAATGGACAAAATTCGGTAACTCAGTAAATTCTGCCGTACATTTTTAGAAAATCGGTATCTCTAGGTTGTTGTGGACATAGATTTCAAAATTTGAATCAAAATGGTCGATTCAATATGGCGAACGGAAAAATCAAAACTTAATAAATTTTTTTGAAAATTAATATACCTGAGTAACTGGGCATGCTGATTTTGAATTTACATTCAAAATGACTGATCCAACCTGGCGGAATCCGAAAAATATAAACAAAAATCGATAACTCATTGAATATTGAATGAAATTATTTTAATATTATAATGTGTGTTTTTGGGGTCGCTTATTTCGAATATCAAATTAAAATTATAAAATTAACCATGGTGAATCTTATGCGGAAGAGATTGCACATACAGAGTGTTCGGCCACCTCTGCGAAAAATTTTAATGGCAGATTCTAGAGGCCAAAATAAGACGAAAATTAAGAATATCAATTTGTTGATCGAAGCTTCGTTAAAAAGTTATTAACGTTTAAAGTTCTGCCCGTACTGAATTTTTTTCTCGAAAATGCGCAAGATTTTGGAGGTATGTCTATTCACCAAAAATGATTGTAATTGAACCCCGCAATCGAAAATAATTTTTCTAGAACGATTTGAAATTTTTTTTTTTCGTCAAAAGATTTAGGCACCTAATTCGATTTTTAGTAAGGAATTTTTTTCTCGAAAGTGCGTAGGATTTCGGAGATATGTGTAATGACCAAAAATGATTGTAATTGACCTCCACAACCGAAAATAATTTTCTTAGAACGATTTGAAATATTATTTTTTCGCCGAAAAATTTCAGCGCTTCGTCTTATTTAAGCCTCTAGAATCCCCCATTAAAATTTTTCCCAGGTGTGGCCGAACACCCTGTACATATTAGTAATGATTTCTGGATTGTTAATATTGAACATTATCTTCAGATTAAACAGTGACTGGACTTAGTTTAATTGCTGTTTTAATTATATTTTAAAATATATGCAATTATAAGTGTTAAAATAGGTGCGAGTTGTGCAGAAGGTTTATACAAAACCTTCTCTCTCTCACCCTTTAACGTTGAGTTCGAATTACGAGGGATTGGGAATATGGGGGAAAGTGAATGGTACACGTGTGAATTTCTTTCACCTAGTCAACTTTGACTAAGCCGTTTATTTAAAAATGTAAATTCAAAAGCAAAAGCAAAATTAAATAAACAAAATAAAATAAATTTAATTAATAATTTTTAGGTATTTAAAATGTATCGCTAGGAAAAAACCGAGCCTGTTTTCGGGTTCGTAAAAAAACCTGGATGGGGCCTGTCTAAGCTACGACTCTCGTCTCGGTCTTCTGTAACAAAAGAAAGACCGAAATCCGGCTGTTAAATACCTGACAACGCTCGTTGCGTTGTTTGACTCGCTCAATCTACACGCTCCTTACTCCGTTTATGGTAAACAGGAGCGGGATTCTTACACAGCTATACGCAGCTGTATTAGTGAACTGTATTATCGAACGTTTTTCGTATGATCGACAAACGTTCGATTGCAGTATAGGAGGGCGAGATTCTAATCTCGATTTTCCCTGGACTGCAGGGTTTGATTATTGCAGGAGTGGACAACAGGCAGAGGTTGTAAGGCTCCGAATGTTGTCTGCTCTGCGGCTCTTCACCGTCCCCTGGTCCGTACGGGACCGGTGTGATGCCGTCTTTTAACTGCGCTAGAAGCGTCTGTTTGTTAAAGTTCTTACA